CTGCTGTCTTTCCCCTCCGCCCACGCTGCTTGTCCTGGTGGCCGGACAGATGCCTGTGGCCTGTCGGACGCGGCGCACATCGAGAGCCTGCAAGAGAAATCCCAGTGCGCCCTGGAGGAGTACGTGCGCAGTCAGTACCCCAACCAGCCCAGTCGCTTCGGCAAGCTGCTGCTCCGGTTGCCTTCGCTTCGCACCGTCTCGTCGTCGGTCATTGAGCAGCTCTTCTTCGTCCGCTTGGTAGGTAAAACCCCCATCGAGACGCTCATCCGAGACATGCTGCTTTCCGGCAGCAGCTTCAACTGGCCTTACATGTCGATCCAGTGTTCCTAGAGCAGCCCCTGGCCTCCCCCGCTTAGAGACCCGCCCCAGGCCCCGCGGCTGGGCGGCCAGGTGGGGGGTCCCGAGCGAGAGCAAAGAAAGGGACCCACACACGCCTCACTTCCCCAAGGCCGGGTGCCCGGAAACCTCGTCCTGGAGGAAAGACTGGCGGAGGCTGGCAACTCCGGCCCGGCGGTGGTGGCCAAAAGGGGCAGCTCGTGTGTGTGGAACCAACGGCGATACTGAGGTGGGAGACTTTAAAACGAATAAACAAAAGTAGCAAAGACCGAAGGGATTTTCGTATTAAACTGCCCGCCCCCCTCCAAGAAAGAGAGAGAAGAGGAAGAGGAAGAGGAAGAGGAGGAAGATTAGATGGATTTTCCTGGATTGATCACGGACTGAAACGGTGATCAACTGTACAGCAAACACACAGTTTAAGAAACGAAGCTGAAGCCGAACTGACTGAGGGGGGGGGGAACGGGAGGGGGTTCCACAGGTAAACACTGACCACGAACATTGTTCTTCATTTTGTAAAATATTAGTCTTTATTTTCACTTTTTTTGTAAAATTTAAAACATCGTATGCGCATAAAGGAGAGAAAAACAACACAAGAAACAAAAATTAGGGAGGGGGGAAATAACGTTTTCCAAATAATTATTAAAAAAAACAAGGAATTGTTCTGTGTGTATGTATCTATATCTGTTTTGTATTTTTTTCTGGTTCCAAACCAGGCTTCCTGTGATTCTATACTAAGAATTTTTGATATAACCCTTTGCTTCTTATAATGACTGCGATATATGTTGTCGAAGCTGTTCTTCAAGAATTAAAATTGAAGTGAGAATTTAAACAGAAATAAAAGAATTTAGCAAAAAGAACAAAAGGCAACCCAACAACACCCTGAAGGACCAAGTCCCACTGCCCCCCACACCAGTCTGTGTTCCTTGGAGCCACCCTCCTGCGTGGTTGTCTGGGGAGTTGGGGGCATTATTTCTCTCCCCACACCAATGCTTGCTTTGCAGCTTCCACCAGAGTTTAAGGGGGTGGGAATAGAGATAATATGTTGGACCTCGTTTCTAGTGAGGTGCCTCTGTCTCTCGGCATTCCCACGCCCATTGGTTTGATGTTACAGGGGTTGTGACTGAAGCTGATGAAACAGAAAGAGTTGGAGGAATCCCTTTAATAGCCTGCTGGTGGCTTTCAATCCTTCTGTGTGCATAATCCGGAATACCAATGGGAATGGGTCTACGTGTCCGTGGGGGTAGGGGTGGAGACTGCCTGTGAGCTATGTAAGAATATCAGTATCTTTATAGAGGTTAAATAATTTTATTACGGGTCCTAAACTCCCTGATATCCCCCCCCCCATGCCAGTTATTGTGGGTTCAAGTTTCCGTGTCATTAAGAGAAGATGCTTCTCAGTATTCCGAGTTCTGGTCTTTGGAGTATGCATGAGAGCGAAAGAGAGCTGTAGATGCAGATGTCTGGTGCTCTGTTCAGACCCAAGGACAGGCCTCTGCCTCCTGGGGGGGGGGGGGACATGGACGAGTCTCCTTGAGGCATCTCCTTCACATAAGCACAGAAAAGCTTTGCCAACGCTTCATCCCCCACCCATCTTTTTCTCCCCCCTCTCCAAATGCATCAGCAGTTCTCAGCGCGGAGCCCCTTTTGAAGACAACGACTTTCCCAGGGCTTGGAGCTGGTCTCTGCCGATCCCAGTAACAGCTTTCAGTGCATTAATGTTTTATAGGATCTGAGACGGAGCTGTAAGAACACACACTGCCAAGGGAGCTCTTTCTTAACGTATTAATAAAGCCGGATCTTTAAAAATAACATTCGTGCGTGTCTCCCCCGCCCCCATCCTCTTATCACTTCTCTTCCTAGTCCTCCAAATACATTCAAGATAAAGAAGGATTTTAGCTGCTGAAATTGATGGCAAATTTTCCCCTTATTAATTTGCTGTCTACATTCCCTTTACTTTTTTGTTTTCATTAACAAGCCTTTTCGGTTAAACTCGCTTGCTTGCCTGCCTGCCGGCCAGCCAGCCAGCCTGCCTGCCTTCCTGCCTGCCTGCCTTCTTCAGTATTCCAGACACAAGAGATCCTAGGAGACTGAGCGAACGAGCATGAATTTCTAGATCGAGAGCATTTACAGCTGCATAATCACCGCTGTCAGCAGCTAGAGTCTGTAAGACTAGTCCTTGTCAGAAAGACTAGGACACACCTTGGCTTTCATTTGTTTCAGTGCTGCCCAAAGACTCTGGCAAGCCCATGTCCCTGTAATTTTGCAGAGGGGGACCAGAGAGGAACAAGAAGGCAATTTCGTACCTTTAGAATCAGGCACTTTAATATATTCTGTATTAGTCTTTCATTGACCTTGATCATATAGCCCTTGGTAGAATTAAGGTCCTTGAGAAACCCCAAAGCATTCTCGGAATTATAAGATGGATTCCAACTCATAAAACTAGGCTATGATTTCTCAGATCATTTTGTTCTCCTTCCCCACCCTAACTCATTTTTGACTGCGGAGGACCATAACATGAATCAATGCCTTAAATTTAGAAGGAAGGGAAAAGCAACAACCAAGTCTAGATCAGGTGCGGGAAGGGGCCTTGGTTTTCCAAGACTGAGGCTATCACAACCTGGTTTTCTTTTTTCTTACAGTGCTGTAAAACTTGAATGTGGCCTTGCCAGTTTGTTTTAAGAAGGGAGGGGCAAACCAAATGATGCTTGTTGGAAAGAGTTGGGCCAATGGTTGCGCAGAATCTCAGCTGGTCAGCTGCCTGAGAAGCCTTTGGCCCCTAGTCATACAGCGTGATATCTTTAGCCATGCCAAAAAAAAAAAAAAAATGCTTTAGAAACCAAAGCTATCTTCCAAGGTTATCTAACCGCTGTGGCAGTGTGTGGATTGGGAACCTGCAGTATCAATGAACAAAATAAATCCCAGAAGTATCTCTTGCCCTTCTGTAGAGGTGGGTGCAGTTGCCAAACAAGCCTTGATTTACACCCCAGGCCAGGATGCCCCATAAGCTGTAGTTCTATGGACTTGGGTTCATCTTTGTTGCAGTTACAGAGCCTCTCCCCAAACAGCCAATTTTAGCTGGTTTTGGCAAATGTTTTAAAGCAGCCTGGCCTCTTCCTGCCCTTCCATTTCAGTCTAGTCTTTTCTAGACAGACTAACTTTGGAGTGTCCTCAGAGGAGTCATGGAAATTGCAGGAGCTCTGATAAGAATGGGGAGGAGGGTGACACTTTGCAAAGTGAAATTGTAGTTGTTTGTTAAGCAGGCAGCCCTATTTTTTTTTCCTGTGCCTCTAAAATTGAAAGCTGTCTCTAAAATGATCACTTTTTTGCACACACTCACTACAGGCTCTTGCTTGTACATCTGTTGTGTTCAAGGACAACAAGGTTTAGAAATACTGTGCCTTCATGAGAAAAAGGATTAGATCTTCCTAAGGAAAAGATCACTGAAAGTGCTTTAAGTAGATGAACAACTTTCTTGCAACCTGACACCCTAAGATGTTGTTGACTACACATCCTAGCACCTCAGGTCAACAGGACCAGGGTCTTTGTTAGTTATGGTGATGGGAATATTGACCCAAGATTTCTGAAGAAACCAGTAAGTGATAGACTGTGATTTGTGAGATAAAATGAGGAGAATGGATGCTACAAGAGTGGTGAGCACTTTGGGGTGTTCTAGTCATCAATTGGGTTTAATTTCTTTGTAGGACTTTGGATTATGAGTGGAATTCATCCACAGCCATTTTATTTGGGTTTTTGGAGGGGGGATTCCTTTTGGTTTGGTTTTTTATTATTGATGTGACATGCCTGGGCTCCCAGAATTGCTATATGAGAATTATCTGTGGTCTTCTTTATAAACCAAGGAAAACAACTTTATTCTTGTAAGAGCCTAGAAGCTGAGCTGGAGGTTGAGGTGGGGAGGAGAGGTTATAGAGAGAGTGAGGAAGAAAAGGAAGAGAAAAGAACAGGAAGTAAAGGAGAGAGAGAAAAAAAAGGACTATTGAGTCATACTTAATGTCAGATGAAAGAGTCAATGAACAAATGTATTTTGGACAGTCTTCTCCCTGTAAAAGGTAGTAGTAATATACCAAGGAAAACGTCTAAGAAGCTCAAGCTAAAGACTTTCCTCCACAGTATTAAAAGATGAAGTTGAGTTACTCTGCTTCCTTTTCAAGTCATAGCATCATGAAATAATTCTAGTCAGCATAGAAATTTTTCTTTTAATATAGAAGAATATTTTATTAAAGTCAAATTATTTTCCTTTGCAGATAAAATGTTTGCAGAGAGTGAGGGTTTTACATTTCTCTCCAGTAACTGGAAAATGTTACAGAATTAAACTATTCTGGAATTTTAAAAAATAGGAAGAGTGTAAAATAATCCCTTCTTATGAGTTGTACTACTTGGGAATGAGGCTAACCCCTTTTGTGTTTGTGCTATAAAAATAAGAACCGCGGAAGAAACTACCCATAAACTGAGATAGCCCCATTACTCACCTCATACAGTAATCCTACCTCACCCTCCTCCATGAACAGAATTCGGGTTGCAGTTTGTTTGTTTGTTAACGTCTGGTCTCTCGTGTCAGACTGGGGCGTTTGGCCTCCTTAAGGAAGTCTTAACTCTCGAATCGTCTCTGTGTCCGGATAGAGGAGCAAAATACACTTCGTCTTCTATCTGACTCCTGGTTTTTGCAATGGACTTCAATCTTATTTTCATCCTTAACACAAAGAGGGGAAGAGAGGAAGAATGAAATATATTCTGCTTCTCTTCCCTCCACCCTGGTCATTAGCCTGGATGTCAACAATCTGAGCTCATTTTTTCGAGAACACATACACCGTCCATTAGTAGAATAATGTTTTTTTAAACAAACAAACAAACAAACAAACCCGCGTTCATCTGTTCTAATGGGTTTCCAAGGGAAAAGGCGAATGGTCAGCCTAACGATTTTGCACGGCTTTCGAGCTTGCCGGGAGCCCGGCGGCTGCTTCGCGGGCCTGCCGGGGCTTCCTAACCAGTCGGCGTTTTGACGAGAACTCCCTGAGGTGGCGGGAGGGGGGTCAGAAGAAAGAAGAAAGAAGAAAGGGGG